CATCCTCTTGTACCTGCCATCTCAACAGGGCCTGCGCATCATCCCCTCCTCGCCCTCGCCATCAACGTCGTCTACGCGTCACCCCCCCTCGCCTTTCGCCTTCGGCGTCGTCGTCGTCGTCCTCGGGGGGACCTGTCCCCAGCCAATCCAACCGTTTCGCATCCATCGGGGAGGCCAACGTGGCGTCGTGCGAGAAAGTGACCAATCGGGGATGTACACAGGTGGGGGGGGCGAAGGTTGGAGGCGGTCTCCCCAACTTGTTCGTCATGACCTGCGCGGATTGCGTGATGTGTCGGCGGGTGTCGAACTGACGGTTCATGGACGCCAGCAGCGTCGTCTTCGCCGTCAGTTGAACGAAAACCCAAGCGTCGTAATGCGATATCGGATCGTCCCTGCCATTCACATAATCCACATCGTGGCGGTGAGCAAATACCTCATCGCCTCTGCCATCCCCTTCAGACGCTCGTACGACACTCGACCGCCGTCCATAGCTTGCCTGTCCACTATGTTCACGCCCACGAACCACAAAGGCAACTTCATGTCTGCGTTCAATGTGGTGCGGAACAACATTGGGCTCACCAAACTGCGCCAGTCCTCTGCTGACCACATTGCTCTAGCGATGTCCGTGGCAGCATGATTCAACGCGTATTGGTATGCCATGTGATACCCCCTTTTCCTGCTCTCCGACTTGAAGACCCAACCGTGGATCGCCTTGAGGGAGATTGTCTGCACTTTCAACGCCCTCTCTTTCGCCGCGTTGAGCTCCGACTCGTCCTCGATTTTGTGTTGGGGGATGGAGTTGTGTGGAAGGGAGATGCTCCGTCGAATAGCCGGAGGCTGCACTCCCCGCGCCACGGCCACGAGATACGCGCGTGCTTCTTGGATTATCCTCACTACGGCGCTCCCCTGCGTGTCGTTCCAGAATCTGTTGTCATCCTCTCAAAGTTTGGCGGCGGCATCCATCGCATGTGTCGCCGCTCGTTGCCCGTGCAGCCTGTGCACCAGAGCCTCGTCGTCTTCCCCGCCCGCCGCGCCATCTCCTCCCTTCAGGACTTCAACCGCCTCTCTCGGGACCGCCACAGCGCCGCCGCGCGCCGCCACCGCGGGAGATCACGACGTCCCACCTTCAACCGGTGCTTGGGAACCCCCCGCCACGTCTGCAGCCGGGGTTCGGGGGCGATTCACTGGCGCAAGCACGCGTTGCGCAGTCTCATGTGATGCGGCCCCTTGCTTCGCGCGGCCAGCGACGTCCCTCCTTGCGACGTCGCGCGCCACGTCGCGTGCCACGTTGACGAAGACTGGTTGGTTGGCCGCGGCAACGCCACCGCCGCACCGTGCGGTCGGTGTCCCTTCCCCCCCCTCGTTTATTCTAATCCCCCCCGCGGAACCGACCCTCGCCTTCCTCGACAATGGTTCATCGTCGTCATCTTCAAAGTCGTCGTCGTCGTTCGTCATCTCTTCCTCCACCCCAGCCTCCTCCACAACGTCTCGCGCACTGCCAGCGGCCACGACTTGGACGCCCTTCCTCTGCCTCTTCGCTTGATGACGTCCCTTCTTCGCGGGGGTCGCGCCTTCCACGATCTGCTTCAAGGCAGCCTTCTTCCGTCCACCTCCGCGGGAAGACATGGCGGATCCGACAAAAGCGCCTTCGATCGCGGTCGGTGGTTCGCAGAACTTGGGGACGAGTACACCGCGCAGTGGCTGGATGATCGCAGGGCGGCGAGAATGGAAGACAGAATGGAACAGACGACTATGAGTACACGGACGGATTACAGGGTGGCGAATGACGGTCAGGGCGACGACGAATGACTGAAAGGTCGACGACGACGAATGGCGGATGGACGTTGACGGCGGCAAGGGCGGCGACGACGAACGACGGCAGGTGATGACGGGGCGACGACGACGAATGGCGCCAAGACGATTGGCGGATGACAAAGATGGTAGACGGCGCGCGTTGTAGATGGTGACGTGGTCGACGACGACAGTGGCCGTTAACAAAGTTGCACGGCGGGAGCAGGCGACGGCACAACAGCGCGCGAAAGGCATACAAGAGCGCGGCGAGAAAGCAGTCCACTACAGTGCTCGCAATCCATGCACGCGCTCGAAATGCGTTTGGGGATGAGTGGCCCGTGCTCGTGATTTATTGAGCGTGGTGGACGGTGGCTGGGAGTGATGCGACGGCGACCTTTCCATGAAAGCGCGACGAGTAATCTCGCCGAACGACGATGGCCGGGAGCAAACCGTCGACGGGGAGTGGGAGTGTGATGTGACACCCTCCGTCGATGCAGGCTTCAAAAAAATGGATATCCCCGTGGACAATCGAAAGGGACCCTGCCACCCGAACCCCCCCCC